GGGTTGGGGTTGGGGCTGTGCCTCCGTCTCCCTCTCCCTCCAGCACCGGTTGCTCCGCAAGTTGTTTCGGGCAGCAGCTGGGCACTGAGCCCCTGGCCCCGCGGGTGGCCGGGTGTGGGGTGCACGCGGCAGCCCGTTCAGGGGGGTTGGGAGGGATGGCTCAGCCCCCGCTCCCCCTTGTTACACGGGCCGTGACGAAGCAGGTGGCTGCTTAGTTGTGTTGTGTACTAAGAGCCATCTGTGTGGAGCATGCTCCGCAAGTTGTTTCGGGCAGCAGCTGGGCACTGAGCCCCTGGCCCCGCGGGTGGCCGGGTGTGGGGTGCACGCGGCAGCCCGTTCAGGGGGGTTGGGAGGGATGGCTCAGCCCCCGCTCCCCCTTGTTACACGGGCCGTGACGAAGCAGGTGGCTGCTTAGTTGTGTTGTGTACTAAGAGCCATCTGTGTGGAGCAGAGGGTCGGCTACTGGGCGCGCTGCAGTTTTATACAGGGGCGCCTCCCCGGCTCTGCAGCTCAGGGGGTCGCAGCCTGGGTTATAGCATCCCCCTCGCCCCATCTGGTAGGAGTTTCCCCCATTTTAAAATATTGCTCCTATATGAACTCTGGGATGTGAGGTCTGACCTTTAGGTGTCTTAAGTATATTACTACTTAGCTTAAAACCCCCCCCACACGTTACAAATTGTGCGTGCCGGTATCTGCTGACCTGTGGGTCACAAACACCTTCTGGGGTTTGTTTACTTGTTCATTTATAATGTGCCCAACTATATCTTATTTTGGTGCTCATAAACCTACTTAGCTTTTGTGGACAGGTGTTTTCTGTCGAGGAAAATAATAGCTGAAAATGTTACTAAATACGCATTTCCGTTTCTTCTACTTAATATATTCACCCATCTAGGAATTTGCATTGAAATAATAAAAGGCTGGATTAAAGGTCCAATGTAAAACAAACAAAACCCTAGAATACATCAGAGTCTGTTCAAGATAACAGGTTTCAGAAGGAGCTGTGTTAGGCTGTTTCAACAAAACCAACCAGTCCAGTGGCATTTAAAAGACTTAACACATTCATTATGGCAAAACTTAAAAAACAACAAATAGTCTAGCAGCACCTTAAAGACTAACTAACAAAACATGTAGATGGTGACAATGTAGAAGGGATTAAAGATGATTTGTAAAAAGGAAAAATAGGTTTGTGCCATTCTGTTGATTTTTCTGGTATCAGAAACCCTGTGGTGGTGGTCTTGTTTATGTTTTTCCTAACCTCTCCTCCCCCCCACTCCTTTAAAAATCCCTTCTGCCTCATTTATTAAACAAAATCTGTGGAAAATAGTTTAAAAAAAACTATTTAAAATATATTTGAGACCAACAATCTAGATTAAAGGCCAAACTTCTTATGCGATATTCAAACAACTTAAATTAAAATATTCAGGAAGATATGGTTGCTGCTGAAGTTTTAAGTGGCATCAACTTACTGTGCTCATAGAAGTCATTGGCTGCACATCTGGGTAGAGCATGCTGAAGTGCTACACAAGCTTTTGACAGTCTCTGCACTTGAAGAAGAGGATAGCGTTATCCTCTTTTCAGTTATTTCGCTAATTCAGTTTCAATAACTAACTCATTCAAAATTGAAAAACAGTTGAAAAAGCTAGAAAGCTTGTTTTCCTTTTCAAGTATGAGTAAAAACAAGGTGTGAGAGGATGAGATATGTAGTATTAAAATCTGGAAGGACATGGTGACCAGAAACATTCTCTTCAGTCCACTAACTACAGATAATACTTTTATTTATTTAATAAATCAGCTACTTTTAAATGCAAAACATATAAAACTTTTTTGTGATACAAACAGTACATTTTACTATAGTTTTATTTACTGTAAACAATTTTAAAATACTGCTTTAAGGAATGCATGTCCAATTTGACTTTCAGTTGTTGTCCAAATGCAGCTTGAGGAACATAATACATGAAAATGTTTGTCATCTAGCAAAAAAGAAATGCATCAGTTACCATTTTCTAACATAATTAAACAAAGGAAATTTTTTAAAAAAATTATTCACCTGTATAATTGCTTAAATAAATGTGTATAGATGGTATACTTTAGTAAGCAGGCAGTTACACTAACCAGTAAGAACTATTCTTTTTAGAAAAATGAAATAAAGTAAAAATGGAAATTAATATTAGAAGTATTTAAAACAATTTTTCTTGCTTGCTGAGTTAAATTACTATGAATTAATTTCACCCAGAATTAAAGCTTTGTTTATATCAGTCTGTCATAGTCTTAAAAATTAATCATAATATAGTATGATGAGTACCTAGGAAGTGAATTCTGATTAATATAGAGGGAAAGTAACTTTTTTGTTCCCAGCCCGGCAAACCTAATATTTAGCCAGTTAATTAACCAGGATTTTACATCCCTAGTCCATACTGGTACTTCTGTCTGTGTAATCCGTCATGTCCAACACTTTAGCCACTAGTTATATGTTGCTATTTGGTTGGTTTAGTGTGGCTAATTGGAACAGCAGTAGGCTATAGCACTATAATGGCTATTGCTTCAGAACTGGTTGGACCCCAAGGTGTGCAGTTTTTTTCACACCCCTGAGTGACAAATGTTTTGCTCACAAAAACGATAGTATAGACATAGTCAAATTTGTCATCCAATAAGCTTAGGAAAGAGGAGACTTCACTTTCCTAAGAAAATTCCTAAAACAAAATAACTTGCATTGTTTTGTTTTATAGGTAATCTTTTAAGGGATTGCTTAATTGGCCAGCTGAATTTTCCTTCTTTGGTAAGTACAAATCAGGTCAATTTATTTGAGCATATTTTTGTGGTGTTTAAATCCTGCTCCATTGTTTCAATGATGAATAGCCTCACTGAGTTTCAAAATTAATGAAGTCTATAGATGTACATATGTCTTGTGAGAGAAGGACTTCCTGGACTTTGTTGCTGTTGTTTTTATAATAAATATACAAGTGTGTGTAGATTCTATTTTATTGTACTCGTACATTCCAGATTGTGTCTTCTGTCTACTTGTTTTTACTTATTGGGACTATTTCAGTGGTCATGCTCTGCCATAGTCTCTTTCATTAATAATATAAACACACAACTTCAGCTGCATTATACATGTGTTTTAACTAAATAGATTGCAAGTGAGGGAGGGCTGGTAGCGACTCTTGTCTTTAGGTTGCCTAACTCTTTCCATTGAAAGGGATTTGTGACCTTTGTTTTTCTTTGAGAAGCTCTGAGTTGGGTATGACAGTGCTCCCTGTGAGATACTACTGACCCTGCTTGTTGTGGCAATTTGGCATCTTTTCTTCTAGTTTTGCTTAGCCAGGCTTTTTACGCCTCTTCCAGCACATACACAGGGAGGATCACGTGCAAAACCACACACAGTGAGATCAGCTCTTGGAAGGCTTAGCTTAACGGATTTGCCTCAGCAGTCAGTTGTCCACCTCAATAAGGGACACAGCAGGGCTAACTCCGAAATAAGCTACACAACTTAAGCGATGTCAATTCTGTAGCTTAAGTTGAAATAGCTTATTTCAGCCTTTGGTGCTGTCTACATAGCAGCAAGTCTGAAATAGCACACTCTTCTTAATCCTCGTAAAGTGAGGGTTACAGGAGTCAGAGTAAGAAGTTCTCTCGATGGACATTATTTTGACATTGTTGAAATAACTGCGTGTGTGTAGACGTGTGTCATTA